TGTGTGTGTGTGTGTGTGTGTGTGTGTGCGCGTAAGGTTAAACACGTGAATTTTCTGGAAAAGTCGCACGTGGATCCGGTAAAAAATTATCAAGCGAGATCATTGCACGCTTTATTTGTTGCGGGGCGAATTTTTCGAAACGCACGAGCGGACGTGCCATCGTTCCATGAGCAATTGCGCGCGCGAGTAATTTCCGCATACAAATACGAAAAACGAACGTGGATATTGGTGGGTACACACGTTACGCGGCGAATGAAAAGGAGTAGAAAGCATAGAGTATACCGGTTGCCATGGGAGCATATTTGCGTTGCACGCATTCATTTGATCGATAATTCCGAACTCCGCGCGCTACAGGGTAGGTCGGTGCTGCAGCTGAAGCTGCAGCCACAAGATCGCGATCGCTGCCATCATCCTATACCTTCCCTCACCCACTTATCTCAGCGCCGGCGCGAAAATGCGCTGCACAGACGTTTATATTTCAACCGCCGCAATATAAATACGTTATGTAAAAAAGAAAGTCTATCGCAAAAGAGATGAAAAATTCTATGAAATGTCGATGGTGTGTAAATAGCTTCCGTTAATAGCGAAACGAATATTTCAAGCGTTTTACCTCTGGTATGATGATAAGCTTGACCTTATTATCGACGTATGAAAAAGCGTATTAATCCTTCCATTGTTGAGTAAACTTGTATATTGAAAAGGTATCAGCGCGGTTCTCTCATTCGTACAATACGCTTGCAGTTTTACCTAAAGCTATTACCTATCGAGACATCGGGGATGAATAATTGAAAAGCACACGGTCGATTGAAAGCATATAATTCTGGTATTCCCGATTAATCAGTTTTTCAATTGTAAAGAAATTTAATCAAATGCAATACTGCAATGTAAGAACTGTAATTTAAATATCTAAGTAAAATATCAATATGACAAGAAATTTATATGATTTTCTCTTAGAACTAATATAATTTATTCGTATCGTTCGAAGTGTCTAAAATTATAAATTATTCGATGCTTTAATTAATATTCTCGTACAGGATATAAAAGCCAACCGGATGTCCTTTAACATAACAGATTCTTTTAAAACAAGTTTTTCATCAGCGAAAAAATATCCGCAGTCTTCGTGCAATCGATTAAAATAAAAAACTTCCGACAAGAAAACTTCAAGGGAAAAAACATCAATAAAATTATAATCTTTGGTAACATTATAATGAAGATGATTCATATTACATAATCATAAAGAAAACTCACCTGAACATGACCGAGATGTTGCTCCACTTGTCGACTAACATAGACGATGTTCCCTTTTGAAGTGAGTACAATGAAGAAACCTCCGCTGTCAACCAGATGCTATTATAATTTGAAAAACAAATCTGAAGTTGATCGTTTTAGTTGATTTGTTTAGAGATAAATATTATATACTCACGTCAACAAAAAATTGCTCCAGATCAAATTGATCTTTGAACAACGGAGGAAGAAAGTTCGTGGAGCCTCTTCCGAGTGCTGTAAATAATGCACAAGACACGCGACCGTAAATAATGCTTTTTTATCACCTGCATAATCGAAATTATATAACGATATCGACGAACGAATTTAACTTATCCGTAGTTTATTTAGAGTCGTTAAAATAACAAAACGTAATGCAATTTAATAGATAAAATCTATCTATCTATGTTAGAATCTACAACAATAACAATAAAATATAATTTTGTACTAATAATAGAATATAATAATTGAAGATGATTCAATATAACGAACCATAAGAATATAATAAGTTATTAATCCAGTCACATGGAATGTTTTATACTCCAGTGGCAAGAATATGAATTGTTGTAAAATAGATAGTTTTCTTTTATATATATATATATAT